TAATTCGATAACCTTATATGTTCTGCATTATCATTAGTATGCCGGACAATTATTTCTATAATATCGTCGGTCAGAACCAGTCTAAATGAATCAGGTTTTGAAGCAATATTGATACTATGTTGATTTAGTCCAAGCTTTTTCCTAATTATATTTGCAACTGTTCGTGGTTTTTGTCTAAGTGGCATTTTATACCATTTTGTGTTATCTTTGGTTCGATAAAATAATCTACCTTCTTCTAAGATTTTTTCACTATTATACTGCTCACAGCACCACTGTCATTTTCTTCTATAATCACATCTTCAGACACTATTTCACTCATTACAGCACCACCATTTATTCCTTCAAAATAAATAAGAACTGAAAGTTCAGATTTTCACGAAATTATATATTTTGACATGACAATTGTTTGGACAACACCGTGTCTTTATCAAATATAATATTTACAAACTACCTGCTACTATATATACCGAAAAATTACCACAAAACTTTAATTAATGTTGTTGTGAGAATTTAAGGTCAATAAAGGAGAGGTATTTAAATCTAGTTGATCGTTAAGCATTACATTTGAATGTCTCATTTTGTTAATCTCCATGGCTTCCAATGAATTTAATTTTCTACTTTTTGTGGCTGTATGTAAAATATCAAATTTGTCGTCAAAAATATGTTTTTCTGTGTTTAAGTGTGTAGCATAATTAGAATCTAGACTATTGTTTTTAAACGCTCTTTTATGTTCGTTAATGCGTTTCTTCTGTTTGTCCAATATAAATTTTATGACAAGATCCGCATTTCAACCTGTAGACACCTGATTCATGAGATTTTGGACATTTCGTTTTATTGTTATTTTAAAAATTTTCCTTATGTGTTGTTAGTTCTGAAAGCTATTTTTAAATCACATTTTGACAAATGTTTTGAAACTTTTTCACTAGGTTCTCCTATGTATGTAATTGTTTTAAATTGTTCGTGGTCTGTATTAGGTTTCGGATAAATAGAGTTTACTGTTGTCTGGATTTGTTTATTAATTATAATATTATCTATAATGGACGAATTGTAGCCGTTGTTCAGTGCTATTTGTTTAACGATATTAAGTTCTTTGTTGTAATTTTCTGTTGAGAGTGGGGTATTAAGAAGTCTGTGTGTAAAAGTCAAATGCAGTCACTTTGTGTGTATAAGGGTGATTTGAGCTGTTATGTATGACTGTGTCCGTGTGTGAAGGTTTATGATATATTGAAAAATCTAATTTGTTTTGCGTTTTCGTAATAGTTAAGTCTAAAAAATTAATAGAGTTATCCTGTTCAATCTCGAGTGAATTTTATACGATTGTGTAATGAGTAAATGTAATTTAAAAAATAATTCAATTGTCTGTCCGTTCCAACAAAGCAAGCAAAAAATATCATCCACGTAAGATCCACCATAGAAAACTTTTACTTAAAGGATGTTCTAGTATGATATTTTCCAAATTATCCATAAAAATCTCGGCCAACAAAGGACTAAGTGAGTTTCCCATAATCAAATCTTCCTTAGAGATATAAATCTGTCAATTAAATTCAAAATAATTTTGGTCTAAAGATACTACTAAGCAATCTAATAAATCTTGTTTCACCAATGGGTTAACCGGCTTGCTTTCAGATATTTTTCAAATATCATACAAGAACATCCTTTAAGTAAAAGTTTTTTATGGTGGTATAGATATGCGGACGATGTTTTTGCTTGCTTTGTTGGAACGGACAGACAATTGAATTCTTTTTTAAATTACATTAACTCAATACATAATTGTATAAAATTCACTATCGAAATTGAACAGGATAGCTCTATTAATTTTTTAGACTTAACGATTACGAAAGTGCAAAACAAATTAGATTTTTCAATATATCATAAACCTTCACACACGGACACAGTTATACATAACAGCTCAAATCACCCTTTTACACACAAAATGGCTGCATACTCTTTTATACACAGACTTCTTAATACGTCACTCTCAACAGAAAATTACAACAAAGAACTTAATATCATTAAACAAATTGCACTGAACAACAGCTACAATCCGTCCATTATAGATAAAATTCTAAATAAAAAACAAATACAGACAACAGTAAACTCTATTTATCCGAAACCAAATACAGAACACGAACAATTTAAAACAATTACATACATAGGAGAACCTAGCGAAAAAGTTTCAAAACATTTGTCAAAATGTGGTTTAAAAATAGCTTTCAGAACTAACAACACAATAGGAAAATATTTAAAAAACAATAAATCGAAATGTCCAAAATCCCAAAAATCAGGGGTTTACAGGTTGAAATGTGGATCTTGTCCTAAAATTTATATTCAACAAACAGGTAGATCCTTCAAGAAACGCATTAACGAACATATAAGAGCGTTTAAAAACAATAGTTTAGCTTCTAATTATGCTACACACTTAAACACAGAAAAACGCATTTTTGACGACAATTTTGATATATTACACACAGCCACAAAAAGTAGAAAATTAAATTTATTAGAAGCCATGGAGATTAACAAAATGAGACATTCAAATGTATTGCTTAACGATCCATTAGATTTAAATACCTCTCCTTTATTGAACTTAAATTCTCGCAACAACATGAATTAAGGTTTAAAGGTCATTTTTCGGTATATATAGTAGCAGGTACTTTGTAAATATTACATTTGATAAAGACACGGTGTTGTCGAAACAATTGTCATGTCATAATATATAATTTTAGTTCTTATTTATTTTGACTGCTTATTAGTATGTTTAAATCAAAATTATTTTGAATTTAATGGACAAATTTATATCTGTAAGGAAGGTTTGATTATGGGAAACCTACTTAGTCCTTTGTGAGCCGAGATTTTTATGGATAATTTGAAAAATATCATACTAGAAGATTTTAAGTAAAAGTTTTCTATAGTGGTATGAATGGATTCTTTTTTAAATTGCATTAACTCATTACATAATCGTATAAAATTCACTATCGAGATTGAACAGGAAAACTCTATTAATTTTTTAGACTTAACTATTACGAAAACGCAAAACAAATTACATTTTTCCATTTACCATAGACCTTCACACAGGGACACGGTCATACATAACAGCTCAAATCACCCTTATACACACAAAATGACTGCATTTCACTCTTTTATACACAGACTTCTTAATACGCCACTCTCAACAGAAAATTGCAACAAAGGACTTAATATCATTAAACAAATTGCACTGAACAACGGCTACAATCCGTCCATTATAGGTGTCTACAGGTTGAAATGCGGATCTTGTCCTAAAATTTATATTTGAAAACAGGTAGATCCTTCAAGAAACGCATTAACGAACATAAAAGAGCGTTTAAAACAATAGTCTAGATTCTATAGAGACATTCAAATGTATTGCTTAACGATCAATTAGATTTAAATACTTCTCCTTTATTGAATTTAAATTCTCACAACATTAATTAAGATTTTATGGTCATTTTTCGGTATATATAGTAGGAGGTAGTTTGTAAATATTACATTTGATAAAGATCCGGTGTTGTCGAAACAATTATCATGTGAAAATATATAATTTCGTGAAAATCTGAACTTTTGGTTCTTATTTATTTTGATAAATGGAATTTCATCAAGTAAAAACCACCTCAGTTCAAGTTTATTCCTTCTATTATATCATCTTCAGAATCTATCATTTCCGGAACCTCATCACTATCACAGAATTCTATGTCAGCATCATCGAGATCGTCATTCAGTAATTTTATCAGACATTGTGTAACATTTCATACTAGCGTTATGATTTCAAAAATCAAAAATGTCTGACACTGATATTTACTGTATTGCGCATGACCGTGACTAATCAAAACGAGTATCTTGGCATACCATACGGGGTACAAGTGTACTCCACATGATATATTTTTTTTTGACTTTTTTGATGCACGTCATAACCAAAATATACAGAAAAGAGTCTGTAAATACTAAATGACAATAAATAAAATTGCGTAACCCTGGTGTAAAGTTTGTAAGTAAAAAATTGAGTTGTTGGGGTATATTTGTACCCCACACGGTACGACGAAGGTTAAAGGAAAGTTTTGGGGGTTTTAGAACATTTTCGAAAATAAATATCAATACCTTCAGAATTGCTCCCCGCATTTTGTCAAATTTGGAGTTGCCGAAAAATACTTTTTTTTAGACTATCAACACTGCAGTGAACAGGTTAATATAGATTGCTCGTACCGCTGTTAAAGAAGCATAAACCATTTTGCGCCCAAACTGTATATGTATATCGGAGATCGTAAGAAATAATGGTGGGGAGGGTTCTGATGGCGAGCGAGGCGACATAGGGTTAGACTTCTCGGACATATTAAAATTACTTAATTGATTATTAAAGGGAATCCAACAATCCGCGACCCGCTAGATCAACTATGACAATTGCTAGGCCATTAAATACCTAAAGCCAATACTTAGGAACTTAGGTCATTACTGCCAACATTTACATATTTTTAAAATTAGTCTAATATTTATTTTGATTTTGTAATGTAATTTTTAAGTAAATATTCTTCTATTCTATAATATAAAGTACGGAAATAGTAAACAATAAATAATAATTCCCTTGTTATTGTTTGAGTTCAGATTTTGATGTCTTGAACAGCATGCGCTTTAAACATTTGAAAAAATCAATTAGTTGTATGCTTAAAATGATTTACTTGAATATTCAATTCGAATTGGAATAGCGCTCCTGATTTATGTGAAAAATGTGTTCAAGCAAGTTGTCGTTTTGTCTCGATCTCTCCAATATAGTGAATTCTTAAATTAGAATTTGAGAAGTTTCATATTATAGACAAAGCGAGATAGGCACTTCAATCTTCGATCCATATCTTTAATCAAAGTTTACCCTAGCGCCCATTCTTATTTTACGCCGTACAATAAAGACCTTGCTTTAGTAATACAATAGTATTGTTAGCGACCAATATTCTGAAATTTTCTGAAATGGGGTACGGCGGCTACTACATATTTGTGCGGAATCTAATTAAATCCAATGTAGTATGTGAAATCAAATTATATTGACCGAAAGGATTTTTGTAACATAGTGCTCAAAATCATGCATTTTTTTATTTTTCTAAATAACTGCACTTCTATTTTATGTTATTGATATTTTCGCGATTGTATATTATCAATTTTTTTAAATTTGCTTTGGGATAACATAGCCGGAAACTATGTTAAAAGGTTTTTTTTTATAAAAACCTACCTAATCATTCGGGTAGACCCATTCAGCTGGGTTATACAGGGTGTTTTTTTTTTTCGATGTATAGAACTTTAAGTTGGCATTACTGTTCAAGGTGGCGACCGATTTAACAGCTGTCAAGTGATTTATTCTCAGTTTGGTTTGGCAATTCATCATGAATTCATCAAGTAAGGAGTAGATTCGTCGAATGGGTCCAAAACGAGATTGCCGTTGTTCCCGATTTTCATAAGCGAATCTTGTTTGGCGATGAAGCGCACTTCTGGTTGAATGGCTACGTCAACAAACAAAACTGCCGCATTTGGAGCGAAGCTAATCCTCAAGTGTATGTCGAAACACCGTTACATCCAGAAAAACTGACTGTTTGGTACGCTTTATGGGCTGGTGGAATCATTGGTCCGTACTTCTTCAAAAACGATGATGGCCAGAACGTTACAGTCAATGGTGATCGGTATAGAGCTATGATTACTAACTCTTTCATTCCTGAATTGAATAACCAGGAGATGTGGTTTCAACAAGACGGCGCAACATGTCACACAGCTCGTGCCACAATCGATTTATTGAAAAACACGTTTGGTAACCGCCTAATTTCACGTTTTGGACCTGTGAATTGGCCTCAAAGATCTTGTGATTTAACACTGCTAGACTACTTTCTGTGGGGCTATGTAAAGTCATTGGTCTATGCGGATAAGCCACAAACGCTTGATCATTTGGAAGACAACATTCTCGGTATTATTGCCGATATACGGCCATAAATGTTGGAAAAAGTTATCTAAAATTGGACGTCCAGATTGGACTACATCCGCGCCAGCCGTGGCGGTCATATGCCAGAAATCATATTTAAAATGTAATGCCACAAGATTGTCTTTCGGATAAATAAAATTCATGTCAATCGAATAAACCATCGTTGTTTCATTGCAACTTAGAGTTCTATACATCGAAAAAAAACACCCCTTAATTAACATCTTCAAAGATATGCTTGTTTAAAATCGAATAAACTTGCCTTGTTCTAATTTTAAGTGAATATTGGAAATACCAAATGGGCAACACTTAATACCTAAATCGAGTAACCTTTGAAGTCCCATCACAAAAATAAATAAGTCCATCAAAACCATCGGTTATGGTTAACTAGCTAAATTAAAGTTTTGGTGACGTTAAATTTTGGAGAAAAAAAGGGAAATAATTAAGTTTATAAAAATTGCTCTAGATAAGTATAATTAAGAAAAATTGCAGAAGGAAGGAGTGAACCTAAAAATGTAATCGAATATAGGATATGATATTTGGTTGTTATTTTTCATAATACTTTAATTGTACAGAACAGACTCAAAAACTTAAATACGTAATCAAATCAAAAAAATATGTATGTTTTCTGTTTCTCGTAAACGTCTAACCTACCATCCTACGTGGTATGTTATTACATGCGCTTCTTGCATAAAATGTGAATCGAACCGATTTAGAGTGTTTTAGAAGTCTATCGATAAGTTTTAAAGGAATAGTAGATAATCAGCAAAATCCGTAAAATTTGCGATCAATTCTCAATAACAATTCACGTGTCAAAAATTCGAAAAATTTTTTAAAATTTTTATAATGAAAAACTATTGCTATTAAGTGAAGGGACTTCTGAAAGACTGAAAGAATATATCGGGTGTTCCAATGAAAATAAAAGAAAAAGACTTAGGAGATACTCTGTAAAATACAATTTTTAATGCAAATAACTTAATATTTTTGAAAATTTTTCGATAAAACAAACTCTCCAGCAGATATAAAAGAATCCCCCAGTAATGAGCTACCCTGTATATCTAGTAGCTATATGCTTAATGCACATAAAACAGTTATCACACTGTAGAGCAAGAGTTTATTATGCAACAAGTGTAGTAAGCGGCATTGAGTTACGAATTTACTTGGCATGAGTAGAGCATGTGTTGCACACTATACTTTTTCTACGACCGTTAGTTTTTGAGTACATCAGGTATTTTACAGAGGGGTGCAGAAAATTTATTTTGTGCAATATATTCTACATAAAGGCATCTACCAACAACCCTCTAAAATACGTGAGTGTTGAAATCATCCTAAAACTTTCAAACTTTTAATGGTTCTCAAGATGACGCAAAGAGGACAATAAATTTGGGATGCACTGTACACTCCAGTATGCAACACATTATTCATAGAACGCATAATGCTGTATTCCTAAATAACAATTGACAATAGCATAACCTTATTTCTTTCACCTACGGCCATAACTAGCAAAAAATAAATAACATTAGGGCAAAGGAAATAAAATTTACGTTTGTGGTAAAATCCAATAAATGCCGTAATCAACGGAAAAGAATATGAAAATAAAGTTACCATTGCGGAAAGTAAGTTTAAATAATTAATAAGAGTAGGGGGATAAAACTTTCCAACCTTGGGTGCAATTGATTGTTATTTACAATATTTATAGACCGTGCCGGAAACCCCAACGTCCCCTAACCATGAAGAAGAGAATGATCTTTGGGGGCAGGCTTTCGCGATAGCTGATCAAGATGGTAATCCCGGAAGGTGTGTTTAACATTTCTTAATGGTGCCTATTTATAATTTGTATGTTTACATTTGTTTCTAGGTGGACTCGGAAAAACAAGTGGTGTCGACCATCATGTATTCCAATATCGATAATTTGTATTCTCATCTTCCTAGTAGTACTGTTGCCTTTGCTAGATCATGCTGCCGAAAAAGCATTACAGGAGTTAAACGCATCAAATTCTCTTTGTAATGCCTGTAGGTAAAGTATACATCAATATTGGGTATCTTGTTGAGATTTTGGTGGGCTATCATCATGTTGTAGATTATCATTGGTTGAAAGTATTCCTGAGGGATTAATATATCCAAATGACTCTGTCATACACCCCTCCACTTTTGACACATGGTCGGAATTGATTAGTTCTGCTCAAAAATCAATAGAAATAGCTTCCCTCTACTGGACTCTGAGACAATCAGAGGTTTATCCAGATCCTTCTTCCATAAAGGTTGCCCTTCTCCTACACCTAATTAAACATTAGTAAAATAGTTTGCTGTTTTAGGGCGAAAAAATTTTTCAAGCCTTATTAAAAGCGGGTACAGACAGGGGCGTAACTATAAGGATTGCACAAAATGCACCATCCCAGAATTATCCGAATATAGACACAGAGTTTTTAGTTAAAAGGAAAGCCGCTCAAGTTAGGAGCCTGAATTTTGCAAAGCTATTGGGCGGTGGTGTTTTACATACAAAAATGTGGATAATCGATAGGAAACATGTATACATTGGTAGCGCGAATATGGATTGGAGGTCCATTACTCAGGTAATAACAGAAATTGCTGTTCCATGTAGAATGGTTGTATTGATATTTTTTGTTGGTAAGCTTTAAACGTCAACTGAAATTTTATCGGATGAGATTTCCCACTAAGGGAGCCCGTTTAATATTTAAGGGGCTTCGACTAAGCGCATGAATTTTATATATGCTTGTGTACGATGTAAACTGTTTAATTTATTAAACTTAGAGTGCTATAGTTATTATAAAGAATTGTTTCTGTATCTAGGTAAAAGAAATGGGGATTGTTATATATAACTGTTCTTGTATTGCTGAGGATGCCGGGAAAATTTTTGATGTAAGTTTCTTGTAATACTTATCACGGGACACTTATTAAAAACAAAAATTTTCTAGGTTTACTGGGTATTAGGTGAAGACGGGGCAAAAATACCCGCCCACTGGCCCAGTAGTTATTCTACGAAATACAACGTCAATCATCCACTAAATTTAATATATGATAACGAAACATTCCAAGCCTACCTCTCTGTAAGTTCTCGTCGCATTCAGCGTACAGTTTCATTCGAATACGAGCCCTGTTTCTAGAGTTCGCCGCCTCCCTTTAATCCGACGGGCCGCACAAACGACATTGATGCCTTATTAAATGTTATCCAGCACGCCGAGAAGTTTGTTTACATCTCTGTCATGGACTATTTTCCATTAAAGATTTATTCTCCGAAATTGATTTTTTGGCCTGTAATCGACGACGCCTTGAAAACCGCCGCCATCGAACATAAAATTAAGATCAAGCTGTTGATAAGCAAATGGAATTACTCCAGACCTTCTGAAGATAACTTTCTAAAAAGTATTGGCAGCGTTAGTAAGACATATCCGGGGGTATCTATCGAAGTGGTAAGTAACATACCTCACAGATATTTCGGTAATATTTTGCGTTCATTGCACTATTAAAGTAAGATTCTTCTTCCTGGCAATGAAAATCGCCATATTGGTTTTCCGTTTGTTTTTCCCCGGGAATCCAATAGATGACATCTGGCTAGGTAGTTCAGATGCGCCGATGTTGCCAAGTTTCTTTAAAACTCTAATACTGAGGATTGCTATTTATATTTTTGGTTTAGGTAACAGTAATAATGGTAACGTAAGTGATTACTTTCAAGTAACCGTTACAACCGTTACAGATACTTTTCGGTACTGAGTACTGATCGTAAGCACTGGTTCCAAACCAAATAGTTGTAGTAAAAATATTTCTTGTCATGTACCTAATCATTACCTTAGTATCAAAGGGTATAAGATAGAGGGAAGGCTCTCATTAATGGCAAAGTTAAACAGTGTGTTGTGTCCAATCATGAAAACTGAAAACGCGTGGGACGAACGGTTCAATTCAATTTAAAGTTTGAAAGGTAAAATGTGAAAAAAAATTATGTCGAAATAGTTTTAAACTTTTTTTTTATTAAAATATAAATAAAGTGCTGTTATCTGTTACCAGCTACTGTAGTATTTTCAGTATGGCGCATTACTTTAAACTGCCATGACAGTACTTTAGTACTTGGACACAAATATTAAATGGCATTCCTAACAGTATACGCGACCTTCCCTTCTATCTTATACTCTTTGCTTAGTATTGAAAACGAAATGAACAATATTTTTTGAAATGATATTAACAATGTCTATTTTCAGCATAACACAAAAAAGTTAAAACCTATTAAATGATTTAATTTATTATTATCACCTTTTACAGTAAAATAACAAATACCTATAATCAGTATTTTTAATCATCAGTAACGATTAGAGTTACATCAGTCCAGTATCTGCCACAAAATACTAATTACGGAACTCTAAACAGTGTTGCCAGGTGCCACATGACGTTTCCAATTGAAAGTTAAACATTTTTAACCATAACCTTCTTGTTTAACAGTAACTTGAAAAATTCGTCTCCTCTTTTCGTGCCATTATTTTTCATAACTTTTGAAGTGGGTTTTCAAAACCAGAGTCTAATTTTTTGTACGGCAAGATCGTATTGCACTGCAACGTGGTTCAAAATGAGTTGTGCCACAAAATATTGATCCTGTGCACAAACTAATAAAGCAAGGTCGACAGGTGACATCATAAGAATATTAGGCCGTCTCGATTGGAGCAAGGAAATATTGAAAAAATACATCCAAGGTTTGTAGAATATCTAAACAGGTGCCCAATTGACTGTTGGATCTTTCAATATTTGGCAAATCCGACAAAAGTTATGGAAGAAGCATAGAAAAACGTAACTCAGTAAATTCAGAAAGATACATCATCATTAGCTCAAAGACATTTTTATTGGTCAAAACATCAAATTGATGGGTCATCCACAGTATAGCCCTGAATGAATGATTTTCGAGGTACTGGAATGGAAGCAGTGCTTCGAAAATTGGTTCAAACGTATGCAAGAATGTATTGATTTATGTGGAGCATATTTTAAAAAATCAGTAAAACCAATTTTGATCATAGCCCTTTGTTTTTTCGTTATTATATAAGAAATATACGTAGCAACCCTCATAATCAAAGCAGACGTGTACATGTCCGTGCATGGTTATCTAAAAGGCGAACACTTGTTTTGATATGTTAATATGCATTCAAAAGTTTTGTTTTAGGAACTTTGACGAAAACATACCTACAATTGTACTTACTGTAATTACAGCGTCGATTCATCGTACCTTCAGATTCGGAACAACAAAAAATCCCGTATGCAAGAGTAAACCATAACAAGTACATGGTATCAGATAACACGGCCTACATTGGAACGTCGAATTGGTCCGGAGACTATTTCACGGACACTGCGGGCGTGTCTTTTCTGCTTCACGATCCTGTATTCGACAGGAACGCCAGCCACACAACGATAAGAAGTGAACTGCAGGCAGTATTCGAACGTGACTGGAATTCAGATTACGCTCATCCATTGGACTTATGATACAAAGACCTAGTAACAGTATATGTGTCGGGATGTTCGGACGGTGTTAAACACTTTTTTCATATTAAATAGTAAGGTTTTTCTTTATTATTCAGTTCTTGTTTTTATTTATTTAATTTTTGGGGAGTCATTTTTGGGTACTTGAGAAATTTGTTTGCACACTGGACGTAATAACTTCTTTTGCAAGAGCTGTAAGTTAATTTAGTTAAAGAAACAATACTGTTTAACCCTCAAGAGAGGCACTTTAGCGACTGCGTGATTCAGAAGTGCATGGGTAAGCCATACCCGCGTGTCTTTGATTATATCTTTCCATTGAATCATCTGGTGAAGGACTTTTTTTTTTCAATTTAAACGTCAGACAGTGTAGAAAAAGAATATACCCATAGAATGTTTTCTGAAAAAAAGTCTTTCTTAATACTATAGAAAAAGTCAACAAAAATTACAAGAAAACAACAAAGTATTTTATTCAAAATATCACATTTAGGCGGAATTAACAGATAAAAACTATATCTACATCAACATTAGTGTGATTTATCTTTCGTAAATCCTATGATGGCTTTTAATTCATTCATATCTACTTATTTCTTCTCATGTAGTTTGCTATCGTTCGATGCTTCTCTTCAGGGTTGAGTTGACGGCAATAAATTTAATTCCAATCAAATTTTCAATATAGACGTTAAGATTAAAATAGGCTCATTCAGGGTGTTCCATTTAAAATGTTGATTTTAAATTAAATTTGTATTGCTTTTGGAGATATGTTGCACCTGAATTGTAGGAATATTAGGCGAAAAAGAAAATTTCTTATACCATTTGGAATCTATCGACCTATCACTTCGAGCTACAATAAAACATATCACATAATATACCGGGTGTACTTTAATAAAATGTAGAATTTTTGAGAAAATGTTCTTTAAATTATTTATTGAACATGTTGAATATGGATCATCTTTACTGAGTTGCAGGCCGTTTCTTTCAAATGAATAAAATAATATGAAATAAAATTTCAGGCAGCAATAGGAAATGATTGTATTTATTACTAATAATTGATTATAGCTTGGACCAACTAAACTCTTAAGGCATTGACGTTCGCTTCTGTTAAATTTTGCAGCCACACATGCGAACTAAAAGCCTGCGGAATTATATTTGCCTCTGTCTCCACTTCCAGATCTTCTTTTTTTACCCACGGTCTTTCTTTAAACACAATCCATTTTAATTTTTGTAGTTTCTTCTAATTTTAAGTGTTTTCTAAGGCCATTTTTTGAATTGTTTTGTTATTAGAATGTGCCGATGAAATGTAAAAATTAAAGGTTATAAAGTTTTTGAGATTCTGAGAATTCGCTGATCATTCATAGTCTAGGAAAAAATTAACCATTTTCTACCCCACTTAGCATTTTTGGAATACAATAATTATTTACTATTTATGTTATTTTAACTATTTAAGCAGACCTTTAGTGCTTCTGTTGCTTTCTTAGTCACGAATTTCTTCAAGCATGAGCGGAGCCCAGCGGAAGAGTGTTTAGCAAACGAACTTCTAAAGAAGTTTATAAATACATCAATTTTTATTTATATTTATACTATAATACTTTTTACGAAATTTCTGGATTTCTCCTGCGTCGGTTTTTGCTAAGTCGAACTTGCTAATGTTTCGCCAATCATCCTGTGGGCTTCTTTAGACCTTGACTGAAACTATACTATACCATACTTTTTCAACGACCGCCACCAATAAAATTAAAGCACTGACAAATGTCAAAATACCATAAGCGCTTTTAAATATCTACCGAAAACATCCTTCCTACTCATCACTTAAGTACAGTGGAGGTTTGAAGGACATGTTTTCAAATTTATATAAAAATTAAAATAATTTGAAACCATTTTCAGCAACCTGAGAAATAGCCTGTCTTCATCAGATTTATATTCATCATGAGTTCACCAAATGGAAAATGTGTTATTGGGATATTAATTTAAAAAGAAAAGGAAAAACTATTACAGATTTCTACAAGGCGGTTAAAGTGAAGCATATTTAGTTTCGTTATTTTGTGGTGATTGAAAACTCTTTTACTTAAATATTTAACTAATGTTTATATATTTTTGCTACTTTTTTGTACTGTACATGTTTTGCAAACAAACGTTTAGGACATTAGGACTAGGTGAACCCCCACGTGAAATGCTTAACTATTAATGTCAGATGTGACCGAAACGCGTAAGAAACCCAATGGCAATCTGCAAACAGTGCCTTCACAATAACTCACTCGAACCACGATGTTCTCCGTAACTTTTCTTATTATTAATTAATGCACAAAATTAGATTCTTTATTGGGTAAACCTACAATTTTTGCCGTGACTTGTAAAACTGTTTTCCGACAATCAACGCAGTTGTTGAATACTTCATATCCTCTTTTATAATAATCTAATTGTTAACTTGGTTGTGTTACATAGTTCATAAAGTGTTTGTCCCTATTAGCGTTCAGTATTGGTGTTGCTTGGAACGTTTTTTACTGTAACATCTTTTTATGTTGTGTGCCTTAAATAAACTTTGTGATCTTAATGGTGTTTCTAAGAATTCAATGCAAAACCTGGGTTTTAGACATCCTGTAGTCTTCGTCTGCAATTGATGCCAGAAATAATATCTGCAGACTCAGGGCTACTTTGTAGATAGATCACGGCGGTCAAGAGATATTTATTACTATCAGTTTTTTTTCAAAAATACATACACGGTATTTTAAACATGCTAAAGAAAATGGTGAACAGACTTCCGCACAACTAGTTTTTACAACTAGTTTTTGAAAAAATAACCTGTAACATCGTATTAATCGAAAAGCAGCGGTATGAGGTCACGACCATTCCCGTGGATTTAGTGTCGTTCGGAAAGAATATAGCCGGCTGGCACAACCTGAATTATTTATTGCAACTTAAATATTGGGTTTTGAGTTTTGATGTTTGGTATGCGTTGTTTTGATAAACAAATGTATCAAATAAACATAAAAATATGTTTATGTTTCTTATTACAGACGTAGCAATATGTCAAAAATCCAAAGGACACTCCAAAGCTGTCTTTTTCTTGTCTAATCACTATAATATAATCTACTTATACACTACAGGTAATACTGTGGTAACAGGAAATACCAGCGGTATTTCCAGCTTTCTCTCTAGGCATAGAAATTGTTGTTGTGTTGCGTCGATCCTCTGCGCATTGGTATTTGACATAACAGCTGCGTAGTCACTAATCTTATTAGTCTTCTGCCGTATAGGTCAGACATCAGACTGAAAAAAAAAGATTCTGCCACTCATTCATAAAACCCATCAATATTTTGTGCCAACAATTCTATGTAGCGTTATAGGCGGAAACTAATATAATGAACTGGAATAAAGTGAGGAGAACTTGTTGGGGGTAGGAAAAATGAGAATTCAGTTTTTTGCACACCTGACACTTGCGCAGAATAATTATCGCCATATTAGAAGTATTATGGAAACACAACACCGAAAACACAAAAACTTAAACAAAACACAAAGAACAATAACACAAGCTAAACGAAATACAAAATGTCGTTTTACTATAACTCTGTCATAGCGCCTCTAGCGTCTACTACGATTTAGTAAATCGTAGTAGTAAATCGGATTTACTAGAGGCCGAAGCGACGGTGCCAGATTTACGGCGTTAAATTCGTATGCAGAAGAGCTTTCAAGACACTCGTTTTGCATTTCTGAATCAGCTATTCATTATAAAAAGGAATTTATCCAAAATAACAAAATAAGAAATAGTATTAAGCAGATAAATAGCGTTTGATGCTGAGGGACAATGGGAAGCAAAAGTTATTAAATTACATCTGACTCTTTTTTTAACCTTTCCACACTTTATTATGGATCGGCTCGTGTCGCCTTTTTTAAACTTGCTACAAACAGATTCGTATTATGTCCGATTCTCTTCTTGAGTCACGATATATTTTGGTCTTGGAATATTTTTGCGATTTCAATAGATTTCTATGACCAATTTTTGTATTTTGTTTAGTTTTTTTGTAATAGTGTACTTCTATGAGACTTTTAATTAACATTAATATTTGAAAATTGAGGCCTTTCCTTGTTAAACCTAAACTTTGTAGAACAAAATTCACTAAAAAATAACAAGCCTCGTGGGTCATGATTAAAATTTTACTTCGTCCAGATTTTAATCATTATTAACTTATTTCACATTTCTATTTGAATGTTTCCAATATTACCACAAAAAATAATGTTACAGGATAAACATGATTGAACAACAATTTCAAGTTAATCTTCATTAATCATCGAAATAATTTGAATCAAATTTTACGCAAAAGTGAACATAGCGTTAAAAAGAGTGTATCTTAAGTTGGAAAAACAATAATTGAAATGCCCAAGTATTTTTAATTCGGATCATCCCATTGCTAGGTTCGCTCTCTTATTCCGTGGGCTGTTACGTATACTTTCTGAACCAGAAGTGTCGCGATAATCAATTTTTGGCCGATTCGGGCTGTTCTTCTGTAGTAATATATAAATATAATACTGCAAAATGCAGGGCACGAGCCTTCAATCTCTTAAAAAGCACAAGGCTGTAAGTTTTTGAATTAAGGATTATGATGCTAATTTCACCTTTAAATGACATTTTTAGTATATATATTATAAAGTCAAAATTTTCCATTCTTTTAGTTAATTCCGTTGTATGTATGCGTTGGGGTCGGTCTGGGTTGGGCTGGATTTTACATTTTGCGTCTAGCAACCCGCAATCCAGACGTTCAGTGGCGTAGAAGTGATAATATCTCTAACGAAGAATACAGGAATAAACAGTATAAGGTATAAGGTTTTAATTTGACATGCTTTTATTATCACCTATATTGGCGGTAGTTGATATAATAAGCCCCAAGCCCCTTAAAATGTGTAGCTACAGAACGCCACAAAAATTTTGCTAAATTAACATTTCATCACAAATTTTTAAATTTGCTACTCCCAGCGGTATCAACCCATTTGTCTGCATTCTTGTTTGTTTCAGAACCTTTAATTCTAAATGTTCTTTTTGTTGCAGTTTTATTCCCCAAATATAGACTATTCAAAACTCGAGAGCCCAGCTCCAAAGTATTAAGAAGATATTACCTGTTGTAGTATAGATGTTAATTAATGTAATAGAACTACTAGAACATGTAATTTTACCTTTATTGCATTAATAAACACTGAAATTAATTTAACGTATCTAGTATTATTTTCCTTGATAGTTTAGTTTTTATGGACTTGTTTACAATTTTTTGTAATCATGAGCGCATAAAAATTAAAATTAAAGCTTTAAAATTAATGTTGTCAAGGCTTTCGCGGAGTGCTTCAAATACATATGTAAATTACGTACCGTAATAAGCGGTTGTGTCATCAAACATTAGCTTTTAAATTGTTTTGCGTAAAGAAAATCGAGGGATGAAATCCGGGATCAATTAGTAACCTCACTTTTTGTCAAAATGGCATCGCACTGGGAAGAATTTTACGCTACTCATTTGCCTCCGACGGATTTCGAGGATAACAGGAAGCTGCTGCAAGAGTTCTGCGAGCGACACAATAAACGGAATGAGAAAATCGTTTTAGTTACTGTAGGTCTAACTTAAATTTGTATATTTGAGGTTAAGATTGAACTTTTGCAGTCGGGGGGCACGACTGTACCTCTGGAGCATAATACTGTTAGGTTTGTAGATAATTTTAGTGCTGGCACTAGAGGGGCGGCATCCGCGGAATATTTTCTTGAACACGCCTATGTTGTGATTTTCATGCATCGGCTCAAGTCTCTAGAGCCATTTACAAGACATTTTAATGGGCAGAAATTTATGGACATGCTAGAGCTGTACGAAAGAGGGCCAAATACAAATATTACGGGTTAGTTTGGTTACCTGTTGTTTTTTTATTGTTGACTTCGTTTATGAACAATTTATTTTTAGTTAAACCTGATAGTGTTGATGTGTTGGCACCGATCCTTGCCAGTTATAAAGCCGCCCAAGAAAATGGAAGAATACTGTATGTAAATTTTACAAGTGTTTCTGATTACTTTTGGTTGTTACGAGCAGCTTGTGAGTGCTTATCACAGTTTGGTTCTCGGGCTTTGTTGTATCTAGCTGCTGCTGTATCTGACTTTTATGTACCTTCAAATCAAATGGTGAGAGTTATGCTTTTCGAAATGCCTATTAGATTTGCATTTTCCAGCCGACTCATAAAATTCAATCAGGGTCAGCGGCTCCAAATATACAATTGCAACTAGTTCCTAAATTACTGGCACCCCTAGTTAGTTTGTGGGTACCTCACGCTTTTGTTGTTTCATTTAAGCTGGAAACGGATGAAAGCATATTAATAACAAAAGCTAGAGAAGCCCTCAATAAATATAAGCATAAGGTAGGTATAATTTTGTTGCAATGAATTCATTCGAGTAGGATGCATCTGGAAATCGTTGCAGTTAGTAATAGGAAACATGCTGCAAACGCGAAGGACAAAAGTTGTATTTGTTACTCCTGACAGCAGTTATGAAGTGGTATTGTCTAGAGAGCAAATGCTAAATGGTATGGAAATCGAGGATGTAATTGTCAGGAATGTAGCTGCCAATCATGACGAGTATAGGAAAAAATTTAAGTACTGATATAGCTTTCAAAGTGGTCAAAAGTTTGGTGATGGCTACATTAATGGTAGATAATCATTGTATCAGGGTAACAATAGATAGGATATTGAGTTTATTAGTATTGTTATAGTGTTACAGCAGATCAATTTCCACCAAAAATTTAAATTTTGGTGGGTGGAATACTTAAACAGGAGACTCTCTTTTTAATGATTTATTTTGGTGTATAATGTTTTTAAAAATGTAATCAGAATCAAAGGTAGGGTAAAGTGCCCTAATATCAAAACTTTATTAATACTAATATTAACATCTTTATATGGGGTACCACAAATCAAGTTATTACACACAAAGTAGTAAGATTAAGTGGTGGTTATATTCAAAATAGTAAAAGATGCAGGGTGATACATGTTGAGGTAGTGATCCTGCTTATATTCGGTTGAAAAATTCCAGACATCTCTGGAAGTTCCAGGAATAGATAAATATGACAAAAATTAAAATTAAAAATTATTATTTTTTTAGACTTTAAGGGTTTCAAAAGATTTTATCTTTTAATGAACTAAAAAGTGGATGATGACTGTTTGGTTTTTGAAAGTATGGTCAATTTTATATATTTTTAGAGTAATAAGGCAATTTTTATAGATATTATTATTACCTCTTTAATGGTGTATTACCAGTTATTTTGTTTTATCTTGTTTGTGATTTTTTATGCAATCGACAGGAATATAATTGAAAGGCAAATAATGAGGCATTCTTATTTTTCTATTGTATAAATTATTCAAAATTTTGTTGGTTTTTCATTATTTTAAGGTTCTTTTAAAAAAAAAAAACGCAAACAAATATTGATGGTACTGCTGAGTATGGAAGGAATGCAACAATGGCACAGTAAACAGGAAACAAGTCCAAATGCGCCTTAAGTAACTAATACCTTCCCTTCTACCTGGTAAATTTATTAACAATCAAACCAAAGGGTTCTGTCAAAGACTGTATTTTGTCGTTATTTTCTACATTTTGTGAAAAACATCTTCATTTTGGTAATCTGACTAAACATATCACTTTTCATTTAGATATACAGGGTTTTCTAAACTCAATGGACTATTATTAGAAGTCGATATATGGAGAACGGATTTATTTTGATTTAAATATGTAAATTTTCAATCGCTCCAAAATATTTCAAGACTGCGGGGTTATCGCTTTTACACAGACGTTTGCAACAACTTGCTTAGTTGAAGTGGCATAACCTGGACGGGGTATCTTATTTTCGAAACTTTTACGAGGTATCTCAGATGTGTTTCTGGCAGTAGCTAATTTTTTGCTATCAAATTGAGAATTACCCAGCCCTTTCTTGAGAATCGCAGAGGTATCTTAGGTATTTTTTCTATGTATTATCTTACTGAAGAGCTAATAAGTCTCCCTTAGCTTAACTTGTTGCGTAGAATTCAGTGCCAACCAGAGTAACTATACGGGATCAGGTGAAAAAGTTGTTGGATCATACTGGAGTGATCGCATTTGCTTCAAAATTGCGGAAATGTTTATTTTGTTTCGTACAATTCAAACAATGCTATGCACGCCGTGGTTTTGAAACTACGTAACATGTCTCGTTCGTATAAAGTCATAACCTCAAACTTAAATAATAATAACGTATGGACCACACACATCCAACATGAGAAATACAAGAAGAGGGCACAGCAAAGGTTCTAACCGCCAAAGAACCAGATCACCGCTTTAAACACCTACACCTTTGGTATCCTGAGGTGGTCTGACAGGCTAACACGGCGATTAATGAGGAAATTCAGATGTCTGCACACCAACGCATTGGTTAAGAGACCTGCCTCGAGCGAGCAGTGGTCGGGGAATGGTGAACATCTCCAAGCTATGCAGAACCCAAGAGAAGAACATGCCGCAACAACTACTTACATCTGGAGATTCTTTGATGAGAATAGCAGCTCAATAACATGCAACACAATCATCATGAGTTCGAAATAAGATCAAGTCAGGAAGATCATGCCACCTGTAGGGAATAGCTTTACAGGGTAGGTTTCCAAGAAGTCTAGACGGAGACAACGTCGGCAAACTGGCCCCACTAAGATGACTCTACCCAGAAGCGGAGATATTTATTATGGCCATCCCAGGCAGAGTTAGAGACTGGTATGTATAGTATGGAAAAAAACGACCTATTGCGTAGAGATAGCAATTGGAAAAAAGGCACAAATTGCGGGTTAGTGCATGAAATCTCCTCTTGGTCACTTCTTCAATTTTAGGGAATAAAAATGTCGGGGGGAAATAGCCAAAAGTGGGCATGTTTTCCTAAAAATGTTAAAAAAAGAAACAGGCGATGATCAGATCTTACTAGAGTTGATACTAGGTATCTTGTAGCAGATACGATAATCAAATCTAATATTAGCACTAGTTATTGGACCACAATTTTAACCCAAGAACGGTTTCTTATTACACTAATGATGGTTTCATTGTAACCTGTCAATTTTACTGTAAAAACAGCAAAAATTACTGCCTCCATAGACATCTATTTTTCGTTCTGTTCTCATAAAACTTATTTGTTACGACTAAAGTTATGGTAAAACTATGTAGGTACTAAAGATAAAGAGACCTTTCCTATGCCGATAATACGTGGATTTGCAACTATGACTTCACGGCATTCAACAACCAACATGACGGCCGACAGGCATTCAGTAAGTTTGGATGCGGCAAAATATCATCTTGTTGAATGTTCTGGGTTAAGTGTGTGGAAATAGATGTTTAGAACGGAAATGTCGCACAGTGCAGTTTATCTAAGAGATATATATGGTATATATTAGAACGTCTCGATATGATCCCAACAAATTTTTGCTAAAATAAAATGGTGTCCTAATTTCGAAGTAGGGATTCGTTTGACTTTTCTGAACTAATTGGTTAGTCCGTTGGAAGGAACTTTGTTTTATTATATTTTGGAGGCAAAGAGAACCGCCTAGATAATTGAAAAAATGCACCCTTAGATCCGTTCTCCAGACTTCAAATAGACCACCCACTGCGACCGACATACTTGTAGGATAAAGAAATAACATATACATCTAGTCAAACTAACCAAAAATTCACCCAAAATGCGGACCAGCATATATACTAGCATAAAATTCATCTGAAATATTTTGTGCCAAATTTGGAGAGAAAAGCCAAACCAATTAAGAATAGATCTATGTTGTTTTTTATGAATTTATCTTGGTTTTGTAAATATAAAATATTTTATTATATATTTAACACATGGATTCTGTGAATTAATAAATGACAGTATGGCAGTAGAGCTCTAGCTGCGTCATTAGACACATAACTCGCCAGTGTCTTAGAGTAATGATCCCTGAACGAAATGTAACGAGGAACCAACATGAAGTTGTTAAATTGTTCAGAAATTACCTTAGATTCCTCCTAGCAATGATTCCATAAAACGAAACAATCACTCTGGGCATTTTACTTCTCAAGTATTCTTCAAGAGAAAATTAACGATTTTTTTGAGAAATTTATGTAATTCAACTGTATACAGGGTATCGGCGTAAATGCATTTTTTTAAGGCGCCTTCTCACGAGCCGAATTTTGCGGACCGAATTAAGTTGATCAACAAAAGTTGAGTTGAATCAGTTTGAGTGGACACGTGTACCAAAACCTGATGAATTAAGTCTATGGAACAGCAATGAAATTTCCAAAGATGTCAAACACATCTTCAATACTATTTTTGTTATTTTGTATAGCTACATTGTCCAGTTTATCAATAGCGGCAGTAATGGGTGAAATATTACTTTCATTTGTTACAACTTTTCCTTTTGAGGAGCACGAACTGTATTTGTTGGTTTTTGTCGAGATTTGTGTAGAGCTTGGTATCCATTGAACAGCAGATGTAGACTGCTGTAGACTGTAGTTGGTTCCTTCTTAAGGATTGCATTTCATTCTCAGCATTGCCATTTTCAATAATTTGTGCTGATGATTGGGAAAATTCATATTCTGTTGTATTTTCATATTCATTTGTGATAGCTTCCATTTCTGCTTCGCTTCTTGGAAAGATGTGTAGGGTTACAAAGTGTCCGGAATAAAAGTTTTATTGCTGAAAATGAAGTTTTTGAGGAACTTGTTTTCATATGTAGAAAGCATTCCAAAAAGTCTATGCATGAACTAACTTTTTTATTAATGTTTTTATAATAATATTTTTGTATTTATAATAATTTTTCATATAAAATTTGTATTCTGCTTCAAATTTTAAACATTTTCTATGTAACATATCTTAAACTTAATTTTAATGAAAACAGTTACCCAAAAACTTTATTATCTTTTCTAAAACGTAAAATAAAAAAGTTTAAAGATAAGCACAACTTAATATGAATGAAGAAGAATGGAAAAAAATGGTGTGCTGCATTGGATGGAAAGCACATTGGTATGCGACATGTTCCCAATAGTGGCTCCATCCTTTGATGCTAATTATTGTTTTAGCTATATTAAATTAGATGATGCACTCGGGTTTGCAAAATCTTCTTTAAATGCGACTTTAGAAACCACCTAAAGATGGATTATTTGTTGATGATAATGACTTTCCCTTAAAGACCTATATTTTAAAACCAATGGGAAGAACTACTAATCTATCTGTAAAAGAGAAAATGTTTGATGCATTCGGTATATTAAGTTCCAGATTCAGAATATTTCAAAGATCTATAGCGGTTGGAATTGGCATACTGGATGAAATTATTAAAGCGGCCTCTGTGTTACATAATTGACTATACACCAATAGGCTCTGTGAATATTTTAGATTTTAACACCAGCGAAATAGTAACAGTTTCTTCGTGAACACAATCTACTCCATAAATGGCATAGCTGGTTTAAAAGGCGCCTTAGGAAGCCATAATAACACAAGCTTCTGATGAACGAGATTATGAGGAATATTTTTCCTGAAGAGGGGCTGTACACTGGCAAGTCAATATACATGATGATTAAAAAATCATAATACAAATTTTTAATGAAATAAAATAAGGGTGTTGCTTACCAAATTTGAGTTTCTTTCGTACTGGTCACACTTTTTGAGAAAGCATCTGTCGTTTTATACCAAAAACGTTTTGGTACATAAATATCCTCTGTTCCCATTAGGCTTTTAATAGATTTACAAACCAGCGAGTGGTCTTTTTTCTACATAGTTCTCGTTGTCTTAATGTTATTCTTTATGTCACTTAAGTCAATGTTCATTACAATTACAATACATTTTAATGTATTTTTCCTGGCATCTTTGTTTCTATTTAAGATAAACGCATAAAGCAATAAAAAAAGTTATACTATTTACAAATCTTCTGGATTCCTCCATCCTTGGTTAGCAAGTTCCTTTCAACATTCAACAGTACAAGCGAAGCTAAACTCGATTTAATTTGTTGAAGTTTAAAGTTTGACTGAATCAATCTTTTATTATTTGACTAGAAATTAATAAAATAAATAAAATAATCAAAACATTTGTTGATCAACTTTATTCGGCCAATAAAATTCAGGCCGTGTTCCTTGAAAGCGTGAAATTTTTGAGTAATCAAAACTTGACCAAATAATTTGTGACAAGATTAAAGCCAGCCATACCCATATGTTTATGTAATCATCGCCCCTGTTAAGTTGTGGGCATTTGTTGTTTGCTATTATGGCCTGTGTGTGCTTAAAGAAATGTTTATAAAACTTTCTAGGTGTTATGTATATTTCGTCTAAAACCGTTGTATTTAGATAGTCGCTATTTATAATTTTTTATTTTTATACCTTTTCCAGCGCATTACTTTTTAATGTGAAAAAATTCTGCAAATTGTTATGCTGCACACAAAAATGTCTATATTCTCAGCATATCAATGTGGCATGTATAAATGTTATATGTATATAATTATATATGATGTAATATACATTTTGGAAAATAGTTTGGTTTTCGTGAACTAACTACACAATATAACAGCTTCCATGTTTAAACCAAGTCCGGTAGGCATTTGATATTAAAATTATTTTCTAGAAAAAGTAGTACGGTACATTAAAACTAGTCATAATTTTTTTACGTTATCCATTTTAACACATAATTTTATTTTTTGCACGGCGTCCCTTTCTAAGTACCTCTTCAGGTAAAAGTCAAACATTTTGTCTATCGACAGCAGACGGTACAATCGTTGCCCGAATTTTCTGAAAAACGGTTAAATTAGAAACCCATTTCAAACGCGTGTATCTTACATCTACCTTGTTTCATAAGTTTTGTCATTCAGGAACTTAACCATGTTCAGGATGATCCTTCTTCGAGTGTAGTCGCTATAGTTGGGGTTCAGAATAGCGTGGGGTCCTGCTATAACTGCTGCGCATACGATTAGGCGCGCCGCCGCTGACCTGACTAAGAAATTTTTGTGTTCTGGGCCCTACAGTGGGATATTCATTAGGTTGGGTAAAAAAAGCTATTATTTTCTTTTGGATCTGACACACAAAAACTAGTTGCGAGTTATCTCTAGAAAGTACTTACCACGTATGAGCTCTTAATATTAATGGAAAGATTATTCTCATTACAGTTTTGTATTTTCGATTTAATCTCATATATAAATAATCATATCTTATCACTAATAGATCATAGAGCCGATTTTATTAATAATTTTAATAGGAAATTGAACGCTCTACAAAAATGGTTTCTTATACTTTTACGATAAATCGATCCATCTCAAAGATTGCAGAATTTAAAGAAAAATAACTTTATAACGTTATAACTATATATAAAAGTATACGTTTTTAAGATTTAGTTATAAAAATCGACATTTATTACAGTCAGGAAATAGTCCTCGATGTTCTTTGACAACTTGCAGCAACTATTGAATTTGTTATTCGCTTTTCGTTAATCACTGAATATATTGCGTCATTTGTTTGAAATACTCTAAATTTTCCATACCATGCAATGTCAACATCAAGCAAATCATATGGTAGGTCAAAGGTTTCCAACAAATTCAATTATTTTTGAGAAACGAACTCACTCAAATCGTTTCGAATAATCGAATTGATATTCTTTTTATCGATCTCAATTTTTTTAACCCTAGAGTATATATTATTTCGAGTTTTTACAGTTTCGACTACCTTCTTTTTTATATCGAGTGGAACAGTATCATGAAACATCGATGATGCGGCGAGTTCATCATTTTAATACCACATTGGTGAAAAGATATGATTATTTATATATGAGACTAAATCGAAAATGCAAAACTATAATGTGGATAATCTTTTCATTAATATCAAGAGCTCATACATCGTAAGTACTTTCTAGAGGTAACTAAAAACTAGTTTTTGTTTGTCAAGAGGCGAAAGAGTATAAAAGAAACGTTTTAATTGCTCCATATTATTTTAATATTTAAAATATAGTACAAATATGTAGAATTGGTAAAAATCGTCTAAAGGTTCATGCAGAGACATTAAAAAATTTTTATTACGAAAAATTATTTTAAAAATTTAATTTATTAAATTAATTTATTTGTCTTTAAATGAGTCTTGTGAAAAAAATATTTTTGTACCTATTCTTAAAGTGAAAAGTATTCGGATTAAGTAATATAAAATTAAATTTTAAGATGCACTTTAAAAGGTGATGCCTTAACCATTATATATTTTAATATTTTTCCTTAAAGTCGGCTTTGTTACAAACTTTATTAAATAATCCTCCCTGTGCCGTGGACTGCAAAACAGAGGGTACTGCACATTCAGTAGGGATTATATAATTAGAACTCAATGAAAAAATGGGAGTGAGAAAATTGCCAGTTAGTCTATTCTTACAATTACCCTTACAGTTCGGAACACAGCAATTGTTTACCACAATTAGATCAGAAAAAGACAATAATAATCAACAACTATTGTCTCACTCAAAATAAATATTAATATACCAGTTTATATAACATTAATTCTGAGAGTGGTAACCACTATTCACACGGTTTCGCGAATACTGATTTTTAATTTGTCGCTTTTGCATTATCAATTACCTCAATCTAAATGTATAAACGAATATATAACCTTGGATTGACCGACATTGATTCTCCTTTTTGTGATGACCCACTGATTGTTTACAGAATGTCGTTTTATCACCTTATTGTAAACTTGCTGACGTTTCAGCCAGATATGCAACTAAAACTTTGTCTACGTTTTCGTCATCCATGGCTCCTTTCTTTTCAATTCGTTATTGGTGTGTGTCGATGAAACATTGCGTTATGCCAAGGAGGTTAAAGTATTGGAAATTTTAAAGATACTTGACCCCCTTTTTGATAAACCTAACCTTTGTAGGAAAAAATTCACTAAAATTATATGCCATTCCTTAAAAAATACGTTTAAACGTCACGTACAGAAGAAGAAAGATAGTAGAAAGATAGAAGGTTTGATCTACTCTTGAGGTAACCCTGGAAACACCAAAGTTTAGTTTTGATAAGAGGCCCGGATCAACAACCTGATTATGTAATTATAATATAATTTGTGTACGTTATGCCTATTACGAAGCGAAGTATTGCTTATATCAATTGGGGGATACTTATTATCTTGCCTGAAAGACAAGAGTTTCAAGAATTTTCGTTGTACAGACTTGGTAAAACGGACTCCATATAATTTAACCCTATTCTAATTTAGATCTAACAAATGCGTAGTAAAGAGTCTTTAAAGTTTCTAAATCTGTTAAGTCTCGAGAGTTCCGTGCTATAAAGCTGTACATTTTATTCGCGGCAGACACAGCGGAGTCAATATGTGGAATGAAAGAAAGTTTAGGGTCAAAAGTGACATCTAGATTAACAAAAGTGGCTGGACGCTGAAGTACGATGTCATTGATTTGGTAATCATATCTGATAATATTACTTTTAAGTTATTATGGACACACCAGTCTTCAATACGCTTTACCTTCAATGACAGGTTTTGGCAGTCCTGAATATTATCAATTTTGCAGAACACTTTAGATTGTCAGCGTATAACAAGCAATTAACATCAACACTTTCGACAATGTCATTAATGAAAATGTTAAATAGAAGGGGGCCTAAATTGCTGCCTTGAGGAACACCGGATGTTGCGACATATTCTACAGACTTGAGTCCACCAAATATAACAAACTGGCGCCGATCTTTTAGACAAGATGAAAACAAATTGATTAGAGGTAATGATAATCCGCAATCATTAGAAATAAGTATCCCATGATCAAGTTTGTCAAATGCCTTCGAAAAAGCGGTATAGACACCATCAGTTTGAGATCGCAAGTCTAGATTTTCAGCTGTAACTTGGATGATATTTGCCAGATTAGTAGACCGCCCCTTCATAAAACCATATTTTTAAATGGTTGTATAATCTAAGTGTTTCAAAAACCTTTGAAAATTTGCAAAGTAATGAACTGGGATGAAAATTACTGATATCTAAGTTATCACCTTCTTTGTAAATGGGTCTAACTCTGCATAACTTCCAGATATCAGGCACAGTGCAAGATTTAAGGCACCTATTCAGTAAGCGGTAGAGCAAGGACACTCGCATGGTCCTTTAAAACAAAAGCCGGAATGCAATCAGGTACCGACGGCGTCTTATTTTTGGTTTGCTTATGAGCCGCTAGAACTTCACATTCTTGAAAAGATGTCAAATGAAGAACTTGCATATTAGCGCTATTACCAGATGTAAAATTTGAAGAGGAGCTACCGGAGTAAGATTTAGCGGAGAAATAAGCAAAAGCATTTAAAATGTCAGTAGGACTATCGAATAATTTATCATTGTAGGGCATTCTGTCTGAAATGTTAGTTGAGTCCTTTTTATTAATAATAAAATGCCAAAATTTATTTTTATCAGTTTTCATCTCACACTCAGCAGACAGTGCATACAATTTATAAGGATTATTAAGATCTGATTTAATTTTGGCCCTTAATAGCTTAAATTCATTGACAGCATCAAAATCGTTCTTAATCTTAAATATTATATTTTAATCTTAAATATTATCTTAAATATTATAGCCATCGTAAATATTATAACCATAGCATCAATTTTTACGGTTCTAGGGTCACTAGATTATTTACTAGCTATGTGGTTCAACTAAACCATTGATGAAGAACACCCTAGCGATGTCTTTCCCTCACTTGTCCGACTAGTCAATTGAGCGGTCCGTGAGAAAAACACAATTTTTTCACTTGTACTAAAAATTTCCTCCGCATAAATGTCCCTGCATTTGTCACACGCTCGTTACCTTAGCACAAATTGCTCGTACTGCGTGCAGCGTAGAAATATGCGTTACCATACAGTCCAAAGCTAGATTAGCGTCTCGTCTGATAAATTTATTGGAATCGGCAGTGCGACACAATAGCGTATCCACGATTTCGTCAAACTCCTACAATGTAAATTCGGTTTCAAATTTGACTAAACAAAACACAAATTCGATCGGCGTATGCAGTCACAATCAGTCTAGAAAGCACATTTTCAGATACCGTCTACCAAAAGATTCTCCATTCACTAAAAATTTTTTGTTGATACATTAGGGCTTTCAGGTTTTGGGAGTTTTCATTGAAAACGCAGTTTGTTATTAAGACCACATCAATATAATTAACGAATGAATTTCATGGTCTAGGGATAAATAGCAAACATTTCGTATAAAAAAATCTTGTGGTTGTTTTACCGCGTTGAAGTAATGACAAAAATAAGTCGGGCAATAAGGTTTTGCCATGGTCCTAGGTTGCCAAATGATGCAATTACGCGTTAATAAATTCAAATCTGAAAAAACTCTTTTAACTTTATTCGACTATGACTCGGCCTTTAGAACATAGATGGCGTTGCAATTATCACTAGGCAAAATAATTACCTACTAGGCATATAGCATAGCAATACAACAGGTATAGTCGGTCTCAATCTTCATCATTAACAGAAAAAATTATTATTACTTGACTGATAAGGCAGGGGCGGGCCAGATATATTTCTTTCTTTCTTATATATTTTTTCAGACCATTTGCGGCAGTGTTGAATAATAGTTTTTACTGTGCGTTTCGAGAAGTTATTATACGAGAATATAACAATTTCGAGTCGAAATCATTTGCCGCTTGATGCAAAGTAGGTTGTCAAAAATGTGTATGAAACTTTAATCAGTAGAGGAGTTTTTGAACAAGAAGCTTTTAAAAAAACCTGTACATTTAGAAAAACGCCAATATAAGGAATAAACGTAATGATTTTCAAACTCATCGTATAGACAATAGCGATCAAGACCTAGTATAAATTAGATAATAGATTCATAATTTACCGTGTTGAAATATGATTCGATACACACGACACTGTACCCAAAGGATGTGCTGATTCCACTCAAAAAAATTGACTATCATGAAGATACAAGTGCTGAACTTTTTGAAAATTGATTTCAAAACAATCTTTTAAAAAATATTCACAATAATAGTTTTATTGTTATGGATGACGCAAGTTACCGCAGCGTCTGCTACCCCATGCACTAGCATCATCAACTTCATAAACTGAAATATACGAATATTTGTTAGAAAATATTTATTTTGTGTAACTTTTAGGAGTCCTAAATTCATTAGCAATTAAAAAACAGTATATATGCGATAATTTGGCTGAACAGACTCGGCATACTGTTTTACATTTCCCTCCATATCATTGCATGTTTAGGTTAGATTAGAGCAGAAAAAGTTACTCCTACTTTAAGCTCCATTATAAAAGTTAAGGACTCTTATATTTCTATACAAAACAACATAAATCCTATTATAATTAAGCTCAATGGCGACTCTGATAGTGAAATAGAATTAGATTTTGATATTTAGAACAAATAAAAAAAAAACATTATTGTTAAAATCTTTGTGAGTCGTCTCTAAATTTCTGTCTTTTATTATCTACCGAACCTGAGTTTTATATCCGTCCGCACGATGAAGATTGAAAGAGACTATACTTATGAAACAATTTTTTTTTGGAAACGCTGCATTCGACATGCGCATGCGCCAGATTTAAAATTTCATTCTCAACCAATGACCTTGCAGCCTTCAACAATCAACATAGCGGCTGATAGATTTTCAATAAGTGTATATATAAAATATGCCTAGATCTGGAAAGTGTGCGGAAAACGTTATTTAGAAAGAAAATCGTGCATAATATGATACGAGAATAATACTGCCGCCATCCATTTTTACGGTAGTAGGACCACTACATTAACTATATTGACCTTAACCTTAACAGTAGTTTTAAACCTAACTACGCCTTATTTTTGAGAAGATTTAATCAAATTTTATATTTTGAAATACGTATCTCATAGATCGTTGAATTTTATTCTTTAGACAGATTTAAACTAACCGAAGTTAAAAGTTAAGTAAATTAGATCTAATGTGGATTAATAGCCTTTTTAATAATTATATGAAAGTTTTGGGCAATTTTACAATTCTTTACGGGTAACAAGCATAATCAACCCTATTACCAATAAAGCTAAATGAAAAATTGATTGACGGTGCACTTCCTACGGTACTGTGTTCAGTTACGATGATGGAATTGTCATGGACGTCCTCGAGGACGAAAAAAAAGCCGGATGAGTTGAGAAGTCTTTTTATGTGAACTAAAATTGTATGAGGGAGTGTGTATTAATTAAACTTTACTGTTTAAAGCAGATAAGTGGCTATAAACTACTTTTTTTGGCTTATTATGTTGAAAAATATAATATGTACTGTTTTTAAATTTGGCGGAAGTTGGGGCATGCGCACAACCTAACCAAGACTATTACAGAGGCTATATAATATCATCATTATAATATCATAGCTACTTTTTTATTCTGGTATGCTTGTGTGACTCATACTTTTATTCGATAGTTTTGTTGTTATTGAATAAATTATCCCTGTCTTTAAGCGTTGGCTTACGTAGTTCTAATGTCAAGCGATGAACAACCAAACCATCTTCGGATATTCTTAAACCAACAATTTTGGCGTCTAGCGCTAGACGTTTTGCCTCGGACATACGACGATATGACAGATATGATCTATATGTGGAACCATGCGATTAAGGACCCCCTCATTCGTTATTTTTTAAAAAACTTCTGGATTTCTTCTGCGCCGGTTTTTGCTGAGTCGAACTTGCTGACGTTTGGCCAATCATCCTGTTGGCTTCTTCAGAGCTTTACTGAAGCTGGATCGGATTTTACTCTGTACCTGCTTATATATTGTTTGAGGGAGGCGGAGCTAAATCAGATGATGACTGATTCCCATATTGGTCATAGATAAAGACCTGAGTCGCGGTTAAAGTTATTAGGTTGTTTATAGATTTTTATGGACTCTCGGATTTTTTGTTGGTAGAAGAATTGATTACATGCAAGAATTTTAGTTTTATCGAATAAAATTTTATGACCGGTTTCGTGATTGTGTTCGGCTGATAAGTTTATTTGTCTTAGTCGTAAGGCTCTTTCGTGTTCTTTGAGCCTAGTTCGTCCGGTCTCTCCAATGTACGCATATGCATGGAATGCGGTAAACTCCTGGCATCTCAAATGGAATTTTGTAGAAGATGTTGAGAGTTTTGGATAAGTGGTAAAACTGGTTTTGACGTTATACTTCTTTAGAACTTTTGATATGTGGTCAGTGATGTTTTGAATGTAAGAAAGGACCACAGTGGCAAGTGTAGGATTGCTTTCGGCCCCATTGCTATTGGAAGGTTGTGGTGAAGTGTATTTTGTGATGGAAGGTTTAATATCTTTAATATAGGAATTATTAGAGAGAAGAGCAGATGTAAGGTGTTTTAATTCTGGGTTCAGTGAGTCGAGTTGAGATAGTCTGACGACTCTGTAAACAAGACAGTTGATAACCGATGATTTTTGGCCCGGATGGTGATGTGACCATGCATTAGGGTATCGGTCTGTGTGCTTAGGTTTTCTGTAAACACAATGACCTAATCAAACTCTTGACTGGAACCTTCGGCACTGTACTAACACACAATAACGCGTTTTACCACAAACCGAAACTCAATTTTACGTACTCGACGCGCGTTTCGCCAACCAAGTTGGCATCTTTAGGAGAAGATTAAAAACAGATTAAAATGTTAGGTCTGATTTTCTATTCTATAATCTATAATATCTAAGAATGAACGGTTATCATTAGTTTAAAACTCAATGGTATTTTAAGGTGTATAGAGTTTAAATGTTTAAGAAAACCTACTAGGGTTCCTTGACCATGAGGCCAAGTAATAAAAGTATCATCGACGTAGCGTTTTCATAATTTTCGTATTAGATGAAAGGTTTCGAGAGCTTTCTTCTTAAAGGCGAATATTCGCGATTACTGGTGATAGTGGAGAACCCGTAGCTGTTCCCTACGTTTGTTCAAAAATTTTACCGTTATAAGAAAAATATGTTCCAGACAAGCATTTTTCGATTCATGTGAGAAGGTTTGGTTCCAGATTATCGGATTTTAATATATCTGAGATGATGTTGAGAGTTTCAGGAATAGGAACTTTGGTAAAGAGGGATTCTACCTCGAAACTAAGAAAAATATGTCCCAGACAAGCATTTTTCGATTAAGGTAGAGTTTGGTTCCAGGAGGAATCCAGAAGTTTTGTAAAAAGTATTATAGTAGCCTGTGGAAGTTTCTTTGAAAATTTTCCTGATTCTTTATTCATAAATCTCATTATATTTTTAGTATACGACTGTAAATATAAATTTCAAATGTTATTTTCTTTTCGAGTCATGCACCTGGAGTTCAACTCTCGCATCCATACAGGATAACCGAGAAAATTGTTGTTATTATAAAATTATATCGGGCGAATCGTAAAATGTGACGATTAATTTCGAAGCAGCATATCGTGTTTATCCTCCAATAAAATATTTGTTTGGAGAAAAGGAAAAGCTGGGAGCCTTAATGTGACTGCTTTCGGTAAATCATTTTTTCAAAATTAGTACTGACAAAAATTGAAAGCCCTTATGCATTTAACCAAAAATATTTGATGTACAAATATTTGTTTGATAGACTGTATTTCACACAATATTAGGAGATGGTAGATTTATTACCGTTTGCTTTGCATACGCCAATCCAATTTAATTACTGGTCTTCTGGTATCCTTAACGTATTCGAACAAATGACCAGTAGCCTGGCAAGTGGTTCTGCAGACGTGAGAACGAGGACTTTTCAGTAGGTCGATGATACGTTGATTAATGCTGGTCATGTGAGGATATACAAAATCGGAGTCGGTTACCCGGCATATTTCTACAATTTCCGCCAAGCCTCGCAGGGCTATGTTCCTGAAAGCCCTCTTAATATTCGTTGCGAATGGTCGGTGGTGGATGCGATGGACGCTTACCAGTCGTTCTCCTTCAGTTTTGCGATAGCCTGACTGAGATCTTGTTCAATTCCGCTTATTGTACAGCTGTTTTCTAACGCAGTTGCGATGGACGTGTTCTAAACAAAATGAACGAGCTTAACAAGATACATCTATAAAAAATTCAGGAAAGTTGTAATAGACAGTTTTCTTAGTTAATTTGTGGTTGTAAATTAATAAAATATCTCGTTTTTCTTCATATAAGAAAGCCATTTTCTTTAAAATTCCTTACAGACTATCGTTTGAGAGAAACTGCTGCCATGTAATATTTATGAAACAAAAAGTGTAAACCCGAAGGACCAAAGTAGGAAAAGGTAACAAGAAAGAGAAAACATAAGAAATTGGACATCATTGAAACTAAAACAATAAACAATACTGTTAGAAATACATGATACATAATGTTACAATTACAATGTGGCTGCAATAGTTAGTCATGAACATAAAATGTTATCTCATTATTTCTATTAAAATATAGATTCTTATTTCATATTTTGCATTTCAAATGGATTATCGCGATTTTCTATAAAAATTTAATTTTTTCCTATCAAATAGAATTTGTGAAAGTGAATTTGAATGGTCAGTATTAGTATCAAAATAAACATTCCTTTGCTTTCTCATCACCCCGCCTGTAATAAAATATGTTCCATCTAACAAATATCCATCCAACCTGCTTTTAAAGCAATGAAAATCGGAATTTTTCTGAAATATATACTGTTATTGATAGATAAAAAATTAAAATAAAAGCTCCGTCGTTTTCGGTTCTTTAGTCACGAGTTCTGTCCCCTGCAATTTTTTCATAAAACTTACAGCTTCCAAATAAGGAAATAAAATGTATAGCTATGTATGTCGAAAAATTATTCATTCATTCAACATTTCTCAGCTATATTGTAAACAACATTTATACATGCATAATTGTTTAATAAACACCTCTGAAACTAGCTGGTCTATTCTATTTCTATTTCATTTAAACAATGTAACCCAAATAAAAACGCAACAAATCAGCAAGCAATATTCCTGAACTATTTCTTATAACATTACAAGAAGCAATTATCCGATTCCTTACATCTTCGTAGACTAATTCTGTTAGATATGAACAGGTGCAATAATACAAAAGACTTAAATATGTGGATCGGGGCGGTCCACCACTTCCTATCTAGCGGTTTTCATAGGTACGATCTAAATCCGTTCATATATTCAACCTCGAATGTGCTGGGGCACCACCATGCATGTAATACTAGTAATGCTAGTTAACGGGAGTACATTTTCTAGTATAGAACGTAGAAAACCAAAATAGGACTTACCAGTTAATCTTAAATGTAGAAAATACGGCCTAATCAAATGATCATCAAATAATTTCTAACCTAACGTTGAAAACGTTGTGAAAGTTTTGAATGTAATTTCTGAAAACCGATCATCGGTATTCATCGGAAACATTGGGACAAAAATCATCCTCGGTTTGAAATCTTTCGCCAAAAGAGATGTAGGTGTTATAAATATAACTATTTCCCTTTTAATTTCCATCAGTATTTCATAATGCTGCAATTATTTTCGAACTTCGTTGTGTCGGCCGGTACCAAAACTCCTTTTTTCGAAACTTCCAGATTGATATAAGCTTTGATGAAGTCTGGTAAACAAGCTATTATGAGGAGGTCTCCGATTAAAATACGCTTTTGTATAAATACGACAAGCTTCCAAGTAGTAACTTCCGTTTGCGCGTCCTTACGTAAAATGCTTTAGTGTAATTAACCATTATGTCCACTACATTTTTTTTGCTTAATAATTTTTTTATCTTGTTGTGCCTTGCTTTTGAGTCTACTTTTTACTTGGAAACGGGCAAATAGAGCATAGAATAGAAATACTTTTCTATTCCCTTCTGTAAAATACTTAATTATACAGCGATATAGCGTGCCGGAAGCGTCACTTTACCACATGAGTTTCTTGTCTCTCGAATCCGACCCCCTTCGGACATTTCCGGGATATTACCGCAATCGGATGTTTTCGGAGATTTTACCGCATGTTATTGACGTTTGTGAATGTATTCGTGTTGTTTTGAAAAAGTATACCCAAAAACTAATGGTCGTAGGAAAAGTATGGTCTGCAACAAGTTTGGTAAACTTTTTAAGTTTAATAAAGCCATAATATATTATTTTTTCTTATTGAGTAAATTATTCTTCTTTAAGCAGAATGATATGGGTGGTCTCGTACATAGGTAGTCTAACTGTTTCCTCTTCACTCATTTAAAAAGATATATGCAAAAATGTGTTTTTATAATAGTATTAGTTCCGCATTAATAAGAACTCAAAGTTCAGATTTTCACGAAATTATATATATTCACATGACAATTATTTCGACAACACGGTGTCTTTATCAAATGTAATATTTACAAACTACCTGTTAGTATATATACCGAAAAGTGACAATAAAACCTTAATTAATGTTTTTATGAGAATCTAAGTTGGAGAGGAGAGGTAATTCAATATAATTCATTGTTAAGCAATACATTTGAATGTCTCATTTTGTTAATCTCCGTGGATTCCAATAAATTTTATTTTCTACTTTTTGTGGCTGTATGTAAAATAAAAAATTTTCGTCAAAAATGTGTTTTTCTGTATTTAAGTGTGTTGCATAATTAGAATCTAGACTATTGTTTTTGAACGCTCTTTTATGTTCGTTAATGCGTTTCTTGAAGGATCTACCTGTTTGTCCAATATAGATTTTAGGACATGATCAGCATTTCAATCTGTAGACACCTGATTTTTGAGATTTTGGACATTTCGTTTTATTATTTTTTAAAGATTTTCCTATTGTGGTGTTAGTTCTGAAAGCTATATTTAAACCACATTTTGACAAATCTTTTAAAACTTTTTCACTGGGTTCGCTGTATATGTAATTGTTTAAAATTGTTCGTGTTCTGTATTAGGTTTCGGATAGAGTTTACTGTTATCTGGATTTGTTTTTTATTTATAATTTTATCTATAATGGACGGATTGTAGCCGTTGTTCAGTGCAATTTGTTTAATGATATTAAGTTCTGTGCTGTAATTTTCTGTTGACAGTGGTGTATTAAGAAGTCTGTGTATAAAAAAGTGAAATGCAGCCATTTTGTATAAGGGTGTTTGTATGATTGTGTTATGTATGACTGTGTCCGTGTGGGAAGGTTTAAACTCTCAACAAAATTAGTAAATATTTTAAAGTTCCACACAAATTTTAAACCAAAATTTGCAATAAAACATTCTTTTGAATTAATCAACAAAATTAAAGATATCAAAATCCCTTTTAACGCAAAAAAAGTACAAAACTTATTTTCCCAGTATTCCACCTATGGATGTGATAGATTTAGTAACCAAAATTATTTTGAATTTAATGGACAGATTTACATTTCTAAGGAAGGTTTGATTATGGAAAACCCAGTTTTTTAGTTTTTTATGGTGGTATAGATACGTGGATGATGTCTTTGCTTGCTTTGTTGCAACGAACGTCTGTCTAATTAAATCATTTTTTAAACTTAACTACATAATCGTATTAAATTCACTATCAATATTGAACAGGATAACTCAATTAATTTTTTAGACTTAACTATTACGAAAGCGCAAAACAAATTAGATTGTTCCATTTATCATAAACCTTCACATACGGACACAGTTATACATACCAGCTCAAATCACCCTTATACACACATAAAATTTCACTCTTTTATACATAGACTTCTTAATACGCCACTCTCAACAGAAAATTACAACAAAGAACTTAATATCATTAAACAAGTTGCACTTAACAACGGCTACAATCTGTCCATTATCGATAAAATTATAAATAAAAAACAAATTTAGACAACAGTAAACTCTATTTATCCGAAACCTAATACAGAATACGAACAATTTAAGACAATTACATACATGGGAGAACTTAGTGAAAAAGTTTGAAAACATATATCAAAATGTGGTTTAAATATAGCTTCCAGAACTAACAACACAATAGGAAAATTTTTAAAAAACAATAAATCGAAGTGTCCAAAATCTCAAAAAGTGTCTACAGGTTGAAAATGTGGATCTAGTCCTAAAATTTATATTGGACAAACAGGTAGATCCTTCAAGAATCGCATTAACGAACATATAAGAGCGTTTAAAAACAATAGTCTAGATTCTAATTATGCTACACACTTAAACACAGAAAACACATTTTTGACGACAATTTTGATATATTACATACAGCCACAAAAAGTAGAAAATTAAATTTATTGAAAGCCAGGGAGATTAACAAAATGAGACATTCAAATGTATTGCTTAACGATCAATTAGATTTAAATACCTCTAATTTATTGAATTTAAATTCTCACAACAACATTAATTAAGGTTTTATGGTCATTTTGTGGTATATATATTAGCAGGTAGTTTGTAAATATTACATTTGATAAAGACGTGATGTTGTGGAAATAATTGTCATGTAAATATATATAATTTCGTGAAAATCTGAACTTTTAGTTCTTATTTATTATGTTAAATGGATTTCCATAAAGTAAAAGCCACCTCAGTTCAAGTTCCGCAATATTTTATTGTTCCTATCCATTTTCATTTTTAATATAAAAAATAAAATCATTATTTTTTCCGCCATATTTGAAGCGTTCATTTAAAAAACTATCTTTTATTTTAAGCAATCTCTATCCTTGACTCTAAATGTATTTTTTTTCATTAAGCATTGTTGCAAATAACTGAATCAATGAGTGGAAAAACTGGCTAAAAAGTCTGAATAACTCACACTGGTCGATGTTCCCAAATTCAAAATAAATCTCTCGCTATCAGATTGAATAGGTCGACATCCACTTTGAAAAATTGACGAGGAACTTTTGTCGATGTACGGCACTTTTTTCATATTTTTTCTCATGTTCACGTTGGCTTTCGGACTGGCCGATCTTCCTCTTCTTGTAGGCGAGATTAGCCTCTCCACATCTCTGATTTCTTTCAGTTTGTTTTTTTGCTCGCTTGAAATTGTGGGGGACATAAAGCTTTTGTTTTTTGGTGAGCTTATCGCGTCGCCTTGAAAGTTCAAGAAATATTTCACCGGTTTGGCTGTATATTCGGACGGAGTTTTTTGCTTAACGGGGAGCAATTTCAATTTGTTATTTAGTGCGAGGCGAGGCTCTACAAAAGATTGACTCTTTAACGATCCGGGTGTTAGTTTCCTAAGGGGGGAGGTTTGCTGGAGAAAACGGGACTTGGTGGCTGTTATAGTGCATGCGTTGTCTTCGATCTTCGTCCTATTCTTCTTCAAGAACGTGTTGGTCAGGGAACCTTCCGCTAGCGTTTTACCTCGATCGGCAAGCTGTGGTTTGCGCGAATAGAGGTAGTTTAAAACCCGATTTTTTGACGTGCAAAATAACCCGCTCTCTGAATTTCCTATCGAACTAAAATGTGGTTCTCGTTGACGGCCAAGTTCGGGATCATACTCGGTTTTGGGACTTAAACTATCCGGCGACATTCTAGGACTGTTCTTCGCTTTTCGCGAAACGGCCATTTTACGGGTTTGAGTGCTAGTGTTTTGAAACGCATCTGATCTAAACGAGAAACACCTCGGACTGACCTTGCTCGGGTTCGGGCATGCGAGTGAAGAGGATTCAAAAACATTGCTTCTAGCACTTGGGTGGATCTTGTAGGAAAGGCTGCGCTGAAGTGCGTTGGATCGGCTTACATTGGATTTAGTTCTTTGCATCACCTTCAAGATCGAATTCATTTATTGTTATTTATTTCAACCACGCGCTTGTCCAAACATTCATATACGAAGTGACAAATGTGACTGATTTAAATGTCAATAGATGTGGTTAGTTAACAGCTAGTACTGTATGTAAATGTATGGAAGAAACTTAGAATGCGGAAAAATAACACTTTGGCACGTCAGAATCGACAGAAGTGCTAACCCTAACACTACAGGAAGGAGTACATTGTCATGCATTTGGTGAAAGAAGGCTTAAAACATCAAATTTATTTATTTTTTTACCGAGGAATACTCCTTCGGAGTTTTGTTACATACATAACAGACACACTGTGTAGGATAATGGAATATTAGCTAGACATAAACATTTTGGAAGAAGTTAAGGGCATACTAGTGCTATGTCACTTCAGTGTCTGTGTCAGTAAAAAATAAAATACCGATTTTTTGCCATCAGTGTTGCTTCAGTGTCCGTTTCGTGATTTTTTGTAAAGACGGAAATGATACTTTTTATAAACTTCTGCGTCGGTTTTTGTTGACTTGACTCCATTTGAGATGCCAGGAGTTTACAGCATTCCATGCATATGCGGCAAAGAATACATTGGAGAGACCGGACGAAAAATATCAACTAGGCTCAAAGAACACGAAAGAGCCTTACGACTTAGACAAACTCATCAGCTGTTGCCGAACACAATCACCAAACAAGACATAAAACTTTATTCGATAAAACTAAAATTCTTGCATGTAATCAATTCGTATATCGACGAAAAATCCGAGAGTCTATAGAAATCTATAAGCAACCTAATAATGTTAACCGCGACTCAGGTCTCTACTTGTCACCAATGTGGGAATCAGTCATCCGAGACGGTGTTTATGTCTCTCATTTAATTCCGCCCCTCTCAAATAATATAAAAGCAGGTACAGAGTAAAATGCGAGCCAGTTTCAGTCAAGCTCTGAAGAAACCAACAGGGTGATTGGAGAAACGCTGGCTAGTTCCAGAAGTTTTATGAAAAGTATTACAGTAGCCTGTGGAAGTTTCTTCTCAAGATCTGTAAGGGTGTCATCTGTATTTCACCTAGTAACTCCAAAAACAAATTTTTTGATTAAAGGTGTTCCCTATCTTCTGCAATGATATTGACGTTTTTTTGTCTTAGTCGCTCACAGTTTACCACATTAATTAAACGGAAATTTGAAATATTGTAATCGATTATATGTTTCACTATTATTTTGCTGGGGTGTATATAGTTGACTACTATTATAATTATAGTTATAGCTCTCAAGATTATCTTCTAAATGGATGTTAATCTGTTAGACAATGATGATGATGATGATTATTATTATTATTATTATATTAATTGTAATATTATGTTGTTTCAACTAAAGACAAATTTATTTTCAGGGCCAGCATGTAACGCAAGATGGAATAATATCAGAGACAATTATAGGAAACCTTTAAAACAAACGGCAACAAAAAGTGGGCAGGCCTATACAAAAATTAAACTTTATCAAGATGCAGATGCATCGGGATTCCTAAAGCAATTTTTTGATGAAAGGGATATGAAAGGTTGTATTAAATTCCAAAGGGATGAAACTGAGAAACTGGAAGATCATGAAGAAATCAGTGAAGAAGAAAACCCCGTTTATGATGTTGACACCCCAACTGTTCAAACTGGTGATGACGACCGGAGACCAGAATTCAGCAAACACCAAAAATGCCTAACAAAAGAACAGCCCCTCAAAAAACTGCAAATTCGGCATCTTCGGAGCAACGTGCTACAACCACACTGACGTCAACCCATCCTTTGGACGCATTTTTGGGGTGGATTAGGCGTTAATTTAAAAACTTTCAATTCATACGATTTAGCAAAAAAAGAAATATTTAATGTAGTAAATTACATCAGACATCAGCGATATGAACATGAAAATGGATCTTCGGGAACATACCGCGAAAACCCGCGCCATTAAAAGTGATATGACATCTCCCATAGGTATGACACAAGAACAATTTTCAAATATGTCTATAGAAAGCCTTTTCCAATGCACAAACATTACTTCCAAATACTTATACAAGAATTTTGTTCCAAACACATTCCAACCCTTTTCTAATAAATATCGGGCGAATAATATGTATGTTTTTTATATTTAGGTACCAACGAGGTTCTGTTTCATTAGATTTTGGGACATTCTGAAATATTGAAAAAGATTTGTCTCATCGTCCACCAATTCTCTATAGAGTCTAAAGTTATAGCAATAGTTCCCAATTCTTCATTAGTGAAACGAGTCCTATTGATGATATTCATTGGCACTAATACTGAACTGACACGGCACTGATATGTATAAATAGACCTTTATTATCTCTAATTTAGGAATATGCAACTGTTGGAGGGCTGCGTGCTGGTGCACTATTTTACTATTCCTCAAATCAGCGGTGGTACAAAAAGGCTTCATCTTAAAATTAGAGAAAATGATCCAATACTGCAGATCGATCATTGGCAACAGACAAATAAAAATTTTAGGACCACAAATGTCCTTCAATGTAATATCACTTCGAGAAAGGCACACGCTGTATTTCGAAACCAAATAGACCGTCATAGATAGTCGTAGTTATTGAACAAAAGGGTCACCTTAGTTTGGGACACAAAAACCTAAAGCTAAACATGTACCGAAGAACAAAACGGGGGGTAAATTAAAAGGAGCAGCTAATAAGCAAGAATTGCACCGATAGGAGCTGCAAAAGTGGATGCAGAAACTAGTAGATGAAATTTAAATTAATTAAATTGTTACCATAACATAACAAAAACCGGGGTAGACCAATAACAATCATTAGTGCGGTAAGATTTGGTTTTTTAATGAACTTTCCGAATTAACAGCATTGCAAAAATAGTTATGGTGATGGTGATTTCATATGCTATGATTTGTATGCGCCTGTGTATCGACCAAGTTTCAGGAGAACCTCGATAGGTTTTACGCCTACTGTTTAGGAATTCAACTGTTGTTAAATATTGACAAATGTTAATATCTTAAGTTCAGGGATATCAGGGATCTTGGAGTAACTAGAGACACAAAATTGAGTTTTGAAATTCATATTGAAAACTTGCAGAGGTTTACAGAAACTTGGTTTTTATGACCAGGGTTAGCACAGAATTTAAAGTTCCCAAATATTTTGAGGTTGCGATTGTGATATGTAGTCCCCAATATCATAAGTATGAAAACAGAATTGAAAACATTAAAAAAAAAGTGACGTATAAATCAAGCCTTGACTTCTATCATATGTCGAAATTATCTGCGAGGCGAATAATATATGGCGGAATTTTTCAGCACAATATTGTTAATAACAGAGTAGACTGTCCAAAACTGCTGGAAAAATTATCCTTTAATGCTAGGGTACCAATGACTAGAACACCTGATTTATATTTATAAATTGAGGAAGCAACTCACCAATATCTGTTTTGCAAAGAAATGATAACAGTTACTTTTAGCACATACTGTGTGTCCCACTGAAGAACTGTACATCCTTGTTGGATAGGTCTCTGAACAATGCACTAAAACCTTGTTACTCTCGAAAATCGATGAAATCGAATTTTCGAAAGTATCCAGAAATGATCACCGTCGAAAAAAAGATTTTTTTTTGTCTGTCCGTTCTCCGATCTCGTCTTTTGGTTTTTCTTGAATAACTTTCGAACTGTTGGAGCTACAAAATTGAAATTTGCCTCCTTTTTATCCCTTCACGAGGCACATAAGGTTGTAAGAAATGACCCTGATCCGACGCCGGTATCCATCTTGTTTTCGCGATTTTCAACTGTTTTTTGGACCTTGCTATGAAACACGATAATTGTCCGAAATTTGGCACATATATGCAGCTTTGCCCCTTGACGGAACCCATTGAAAATGGGGGAAGGGGGGTGGGGGGCTGAGGGGATCTAAAAAAAATAAAAAATCGCGCGTGTAAGAGTCTACAAAAACATCATTTTTCAAAAACTGTTCACGAGACCAAAAAAATTCTTGAACCTATAAACTTTTATTTGTGAAAATTTTTCAAAAATATACAGGGTGCGCCGCAAATTCAAAAAAACTGAAAAATGGGTCCGCCTATTATTGAAAATTGGTTATAACTGAAAGACTATGATTCAGATCTCACTTTCTTTTATATTGGGATATAGCCCGCATAGATAGCAAAAACTTTTGTATTTAAGGTTTTCACCTATTGTACAGGGTGTTCCCTATATTCCGTGCTAAATGAGAAATGTGTTAAGTGTCCTAAATTTGCAGATATCAACTTCAAATTTAGCAAAGGAGTGAAAGTCCATGTCCACGTTTAAACTGTAGAAGTTGGGCGCAATCAAATATTACCAAGTATTTTTTAATATATTTGAATTTTTTTTTTGGTAATTTTAGCTTCCAGAAAAATATGTTTTCCTCCATAATCGTTCATCCGATTGGCAAAATTCTTTAAGCGGCAGACGCAGAAGATACAGTGCAATAACATTTATTTCAGGCATTTTTTCGATTATATACAGGGTTTTCAAATTATAGGCAAAAATCTAAAAGACCTAGAAAATTGTTTTTTTACAGAGTAAATTACCAACCGCAAATCAAAAATCGTAAAAAATATGGCTAATTGGTTCAAACGGTGTCATAGGCCGCATCAAGAGCTACAATTTTTGTATTTGCGGTTTTCGTCACATACGCTGCTCGGGATATTTGAAAAAAAATCCATATTGAAATCGCTATTTCGGAAGCTGTTAAGACATGAAGTCGTTGATTATTACGGCGCACTGCATGGTTTCAGAAAAAACTAATTTTCTCGAACACCATTTACTATTTTCAAAAAATTCTTGAACCAGAACGCGTGGAAAATCCAAGGCTATAACCTCTACCTCGAACAATGATTGTATCTTATACAGGGTGTGTCGTTTATGGGCGAAAATTCTAAAATATCCTAAAAATTTCCGTTTTTGTGGCTAAATTTTGTGGATAAATGAAAAACCGTTAAAGATGGGATAATTTTATTTGAACAGTATCGTAAACTGTGTCGTGAGAGTTTCAGGTTTCATCAATTGTACAGGGCGCGAGATATTTGAAAAAATATCATTCGACAACGCTATTATTTGTGCAAATTTTGATATTTATCGATGTTTGCTGTAACTTTGAACCTATTGAAAATGGGGGCGCTGGGGGGTCGGGAAGTATTTAAAAAAAATTACATCTGTAATACGTGGGAGACCCGGCGCTATAACTTTTGTTTCACTCATTTTTTCGATTATATACAAGGTGTTTTAGTTATGGACAAAAATCTGAAAGACCCTGAAAATTGTTCTTTTAGAGAGTAAATTATTAACCGTAAATCAAAATTCGTACAAACATTATCTAATCCGTTCAAACAGTGTTATAGGCCGTATCAAGCGCTACAATTTTTGTATTTGTATATACGCTGTTCGAGATATTTGAAAAAATCCAAATGAAAATCACTATTTCTCGCCATCAATCTAGACGCGATGACGTCATTGAATATTACCCCGTATTGCATAGTTTCAGAATACAAGTAGTTTTTTGGAAACCATTTACTCCATTGGAAAAATTCGGATACCAGGAAACTAAGGAGATCCAGGACTATATCCCCTATTTCGAACACTGTTGGAATTATATACAGGGTACGTCGTTTGTGGGCAAAAAATTCTTATAGATCCTAGAAATTTCCGCTTTTGTGGGTGAATTATTGGCGATACATGAAAAACTTTTAAAGATGTGAGAATTTGATATAAACAGTATCGTAAAAACTGTGTCGAAAGAGAGAATTTAAGGTTTCGTCTATAATACAGGGGTCGCAAGGTATTTGAAAAATCATAATTTTAAGTTGCAATTACCAGTACCAATTTTAATATTTACCGAAGTGTGCTGTAACTTTGAAGTTCGACGAGATGTGAAGGACACTTTATACAGGGTGTATTCACAATCAAATTACATATTTTTTCCATAGTGGTCCGCAGGAGCACGATAGAAAAACAATACGTCCCTCTAGGACAAGAAGAACTTGCCCCGCCCAGTGACGATTTTTCAAAAGCAAACTTGTTTTCTTGTTTTCCTTTGTATTGGCTTACTCTTTTGAATTAAGACAAATGTACTTAATTTTAGTGTATCTTTTTAAATTTGTGGCCTTAGTTCGTCATGTTACCTTGTTGTAATAAATAAAAAAATAATAATAATATCGTTGATTCTGTTTATTATTTTCAAAAATGTCGCATTGTAAAAATCCGATTAACGTGACGAGCTACAGTTATTTATAATTCATTTTTGAATCAGCGTATTATCTAAACGACCATAAACGTTAAATAGGCAAGTAAACGTTTTCTAAACGCGGGGATTTTGAAAACGAGATCAAACACTGATAAATAAGCACGTCGGATCAGTCGCGTTTGCGCGGCGTCCAGGTAAACGGACCCCTCCCTCTCAAACAGTTACCTACGGTGCAGTTACCTGTTGCTTTCAAAAGATGCCGCGTCTCGCTCAGTAACCCGCGGTTTTCGTGACATCTGAAAATAAATAATTCCAACACGTTTCAGAAACGGCTGAGCTCCAATAATGTTTTGTCTGCGGCTGCCAGAGTGTTGCGGACATCCGCGCGTGGTCGGTTGTTCTCATACGTGAAATGAAATGGTTAACTTTTCTCCTGCGCCACTAACGACGTTAATTCGTAACGAAATAAACAAATGCGTACGCGTTGATGTCTCCGATCAACTCACCTGTGGATTGTTGATTGTCTCGCGGGGCGATGTGATTTTGTTTCGTGTGCCGCTCTTTGTCATGGGGAACGTGATGTTCGTGTCGCTTCCGCAATAATAAAATATGGGTTTTATGACGAACGTGCAAGGCAAGGGTGTCCACGACTCCCTCGCTGCCCGTCTCGAAGCAGAGTTGCGACTTTTGGAGGGTATAAAGAGGTGCGTGAACATGAGGGTGAAGTGCGATAGGGAGTACGCGACCGCTCTGAGCGCGATTTCGACCCAGGGGTTGAAAATTGATCGGTGCGACGATTTGAACGGTGAGTAACGTACTATTTTATGTAACGATACACACCAATAGACGGACCGGTGCCGGTGAGACAAATATTTATGAACAAAATTGATAACTATCACTATTTCTGTTCTATTATATTGTTCTAATATTGATGACATTGTTAATAGACATTTTCCGGCGGTGACTAAAAAATTTGCGCAGACCGGATGCTGAATTCCAATGACAAAGACTTAAACTTAATCAGATTCTTTGTGAAAAGGATATTAACAGAAATAATAACTAAAAATTCAGGTTTTCACGAAATTATATATATTCACAGGACAATTGTTTCGGCAACACCGTGCCTTTATCAAATGTCTTAAACTTGGGAAAACCCTTATTTTGTAGACATTTGTTAAAAAAGCAAATGTTTTGGGAACATATTCGGCAACGTAGAAGCAATTTGAAATATCAAATAGCCAAGAAACCAATTTTCAGCTTCTTTCAAACATCGAACTGAGGTGGCTTTTACTTGACGAAAATCCATTTAACAAAATAAATAAGAACTAAAAGTTCAGATTTTCACGAAGTTTCGACAACACCGTCTTTATCAACTTTTTGTTCTTATTTATTTTATTAAATGGATTTTCATCAAGTAAAAGCCACCTCATTTCAAGTTTTGAAAAGGATATTATTTCTAATTTGACAAAAGTCAGCAGCAGGGCGTGATCAAATAACTATTAAGGACATCGTTAACTTAGAAGAACAATGTTCTAGCTAGAAGTTATTAAGATATTAATTATTTAAGATAATTTATTATAATTATATGTCTGATTCTGAAATTTGTTTAGGTAATTATCGACCACCTAGTGTAGTGTGTGCTTCTTCAATAATAATAAACACCGAATGAAATTAGACTTTGTAGATTTAATGTACGTCGATCTTTAATTAAAAAATAATATGCAATATCTCTTTTCTGTATTAAATCGGTGGAAAATTGTTAACAGAAATTCTTCGGAGGTCTGTGGAAAACTAGTCAGCACAAAAACCTTAAATTTGATCAAATTCTCTATGAAAATAATAATATTATTTCCAATTTGGCGAAAAAACTTAACTTAGTTTAACAATAAATTTATATAATAAATAACAAGTGCTGTTATCTCTGAGAATTGGAAATTATTCAGATAAGTTCAATGTATAAGTCTAGTTCACAACTTTGTTTGGGTAATTGTTGACCAACTAGTCCAGTTTGTGGTTTTTCAAAAATAATGAACACGGAATGAAATTAGATTTTATCGATTTCGGGGGGATCATTTTGTTTCTTTTATTAAAGAATAATATGCAATATTTATGTGTTAACAGACATTCTCCAGAGGTCTGTGGAAAACTAATGCAGACGATGAATGCTGAAGTTCGAATATTGGCATCCAATCAGCAAGAAACACTTAAATTTGCTCAAATTCTTTGTGAAAATAATATTATCGATATCAAAATTGATAAAGTCTAATTTCAGATAAGGCACAAATTCTTTTTCAAAAGTAATTAACACTAAATGAAATCAGACTTTATCGATTCTGGTGGGCTCATTTTGTTTGTTTTATTAAAGGATAATGTCCAATCTCTCTGTG